GCTACGGCAAGAGGTTGTGATGGGCAGCAGCATGGAGTGACAGCGAGGGGTGAGAGGGCGAAGAGCACTTGCATCCCGCTGCCTTGGATGCCCATCGGTAGCTGTCTGCTGCTGAGTGCTAGAATCTCCAGTTTCCCCTTCTTACCCGACCTTATCCCTCCACCCCTTCCAGAGTTTTCAGCACTCTGCTAGCCCTCTCTGGGGGGGGTGGGGGAGCGGAGGATTTCGAGTGTTATGGTGCGTGTGTGTGTGTGTGTGTGTGTGTGTGTGTGTGTGTGTGTGTGTGTGTGTGTGTGTGTGTGTGTGTGTGTGTGTGTGTGTGTGTGTGTGTGTGTGTGTGTGCGTGCGTGCGTGCGTGCGTGCGTGCATGCGTGCTGCGCGTGGGAGTTGCGCGTGTTTTATCGGAGGGCCCCCCCCCATCCTCCGCAGCTGTCGTGCGCGCCTGGGAAACGCCTAGATACGACATATTGCCCTAACGGCGCTGGCTTCTTTTAGGGCAACAGTGCTTCCAGCCAGTCCAGAGAGCGAGGCTGTCGCGCTCGGGTTTTCCTAAGCGGGGAAGCCTTGGGTTCCCTATTCAATTTTACTCCAGCCTTATCCTATGATGTGGGGTCACTTCGCTGCTTAGGTTTAGCTTCCCTCCAGTCAGGGTGCAAAGTTAGCGGAACCACGCTCAGCATCTGCCCAACTACCCTAGAGCAGGTTCCCACTATGGAGGAGGGGCTCTGCGCCTCCCTTACTCCCTTTTCACGGGCGGTTTGAGCTGTCTTAGCGTTGTTGCTCTGTGCTCGCCGACCCGTCCTGTCTCGTTGTCTCGGTGTTCCTTTTGGGCCTTTTTCAAGGGGCCTTTTGGGAGCTTCCTTGGGGGGCTCTTGGGGGCCTCTCGGGGGCCACCTGGGGAGCTTCCCTGGGCCTCTTGGGATTCTTGGGCCGCCTTAGGGGGGCGATTGGCCCGTCTGACGCATTCGGGGGCCGTCTTGGAGGCTTCTCTGGGGCGCTTCGGTGTTCTCTTGGGGCGCTGGGCGATCTTGGGGTGCTCTTGGGCCGACTCGGGGCCTTCTTGGGTGCCCCACGGGCTGTCTTGACGCTATATTGGAAGCCCCTTGGGCCGTCGTGGGTGGTCGGAAGCCCAAATGAGCAAGAACTTCGAGAGCGAGAATTTCGAACTCTTTCAACAACCGAATGTAATGATCAATGATTTGGGCCTCCACGGGCGCTCTTGGAGGGCCTCTTGGAGCCCTCTCGGGCCATCTTGGGGGCCCTTCGGGCCGTCTCGAGGCCGTCTCCGAAGCCCCTTGAGCCATCTTGCGCCATCTGGAGCCGTTCTGGTGTCGACGCGGCTGTCTGAGAGGCCGTCCTGGAGCCACCTTGGCTTCGCGGAGGTCGAGCAGCTAGCCGGCAGGTCCTCCGGATCCGGGACGACCGCTTCGGCATCAAAGCCGCTCAAACGCGGACCTACTCCGCGCGGTGCGACACCTGCCCCCAGGGGGCAACGCTCCTGGTCTGGGACCCCGGCTCTCCGCCGCTGGGGTGCTTCATATGGAAGCCGGCTGAAGACATAGGAGCTCCCGAGCAACATGGACTGCCCCCCATCGATAAGCGTGCCCTGGCCTGGTGGGGGCGCCAATGGAACGCTACTTGGTTCTGCCGGCGCTGTCTGGCCCCGATTTGGAACATTGGCCCGGCCACCCTGGACCGCTTCCTGGATCGCGACTTCAGGCCGCTGTATCCAGATGAACCTCCGGCCCTTCCCCCGCTCAGCAGCCAGATTGGGTTCGAGGCACTTGTGGACATCGTGGATTCCCGCCCTTGGCTTGGCGAGGACGCCAAAGCCCAGGACCAATTCACCAAGGCCGGAGCAAGCAATCCCCCTGGACCCAGCCCCGCAGGCAGCTCTGGCGCGGCGCCAGAGATCACCTCCCTGGCAGGGCCCCTTCCATCTGGTGCGTGTTCTGGTGGTGACGACAGGCCAGATACTCCCATGGCGGCCGACGCAGACAGGTCTCAGGGTTCAGCGGACGACTCACGCATGGGCCGCCATGACCCGCCCGACGACGACAGCGGTGAAGGCGCGGAAGACGGGCTCCCTCTTCACAAGATGGAGCCCGACTACGAAGAGGACGGACCTGCCCGTCCTCCCACGCCTCCTGAGTCGGCCCAGGAGGGTGATGAGAATCGCTCAGGCGGAGATGGCCCACAGCGTAGCCCGTCGGCGGGCAGCTCCGACACCAGCCGCGAGGATGCCGCGACTTCAGTCACAGAGGGCACGCCCTACGCCGATCGCGGGAGGGCTCCAGCTCGAAACCCCGCGAGGCACGAGGGGACCAGCGACGGTGGCACCTCGCGGCGCGAGCGCCTTCCCGCGCCCACCCCGACGCCCCCTGAGCGGAGGCCCCACTACTCTCGCCACTGGCTCTTCGGAGCAGGACGCACTCAACACGCTGTCCTGCCCTGATGGAGGCGGCCCAATGTACAAAGTCAGGCTGGGCACCGTCGAGCTCGAGCGTCCCGACGAGGCACCAGCCAGTTGCATATCCAGGCTTCAGTCGCAGCTGGGAGCAGTCTTTTGCGCACTGTGCACAGCGAACACGCAGCGTACTCTGCCCCCTGGATGGAGGGCGCCCAAGTCCGACCCGAAATTACACGCCCGCGGATATCATCAACTTCCTAGAGGCCTGGAAGGACTTGCGGGTACGACGCCTACGAGATGGACAGGAGACTGGGCTATGGTATCGACTGGAACAAGATGCGAGCCAACTACCTGCGGCACTCCCATACAGACGACTGAAGCAAAGGCGGCTATCGCCACGCGGGCTGGCGCGACCGTGCGACAAGTTCCTGGGGCACCTGGGGCAGTTGGCAGGGCGAGTGGCGCGACGGACGGCGTGAGGATCACTGGCAGGCGGGTGGCAAGCGCGGCGGAGGTTACCCTGATGATCGGGATGATCGAGATGAAAAGAGGCTCCGCTGGAAAGACTGAACTACCTCTCTGCCCTCGCCGCCCCCCAGTTCCCGCCCCACCGCCTGCGCGGCGCGACGCGCCGCCGCGGCCCTCCGCCGCCCTTTCCCTCAACCTGGGGCGGCCCTGCCCCCCCTCCCCTGAGCGGCACCCTCTCTTACCCGTTGCCTGGGGGTGTCGTCCGGTAATGCCGTCTGCTCCGTGCGTGACGCCACGCATCCTGCAAACCACTTGCCACTGGCATCGCTGCCTTCTCCACCGGTGGCCGACGCCCTCTTGTCGCTCGGCTCCTCTCTCCCCGCCATGTTTCGCTTCCTGAATCCCAGCGGGCGCTGCCCAGGCCGCGCCGCTGGCCCCTAATCGCGGCGCTCTGCCGCCCTCCGTCCGTTGCGCGCACCTCCTGCCTTTGGATCCAGGTGCGCGCTTCGGCAATGCCGTCCACCGCCTCTCCGCAGTGGACTCGCGGCCCCAGGCCCTACTGTAGCTGTCTCACCGCCAGGCCTTCCTGGCCTGTCAGTGGGCCACCGCTGCTTGACCACTGGCTTCCCTCCTGGACATTCTAACCGAACGATCGGCCTTCCGCCGTCACCCTGGACCTTTCAAACAAGAAGGACGGCCTTCCGCCGCCACCCTGGATCCGTTGGCTCTTGGGGCACGTCTCGGGTACAAGACGTCCTCGTCCCTCTGTGCTAGACGACTCGGATGGGTATCGCTGTGCCACCTTTGATGTGCACACTCCTAGGGGTCTGCCGTGCACCGTGCCCTTCCTTACTTTCCACTCGTCGGATCTGGGCTGTCGCATCTCAGGTGTGGATGTTCTGTCTAGTCATCACCCTCCACACCCTGGATGCGCTTCGTACGTTGCGACTGGCTCGCCGCCTGCTCTTCAGTTGCTACCTGTCCCCAGTCGGCCTGTGGTACCCTGCAGGCTCCATGGATCGGTGCCCTCTGGACGTAATTGCTGGACGGCTTCCTACCGCGACCTTGGATCAGTGGCTTTGTGGGACTTGCCTGGGTATACACAGTCTCGTTCCGCCTGTGCTCTCCGCCTCATTGGACTGCACTGTGACACTGTGCCGTGCGCGCGCCGCGTTTCGACGGGAGCGTGCATTCGGTGCCCTTCCACCCGTTGGGTCGGGGCCGATACGTCTTGGTGTGGTTGTCTGTTCGGAACATGGATGCACCTTGATGTCGCTGACGCCGCGGCTCGCTGCCGCCGTCGGGATCCTCGTTGGACTTACCACCCCGACCACTGTGTTACCCGACAGGCTGGGGCTGGCGCCCTCGGCCGTTCCCTTGTTCGCTCTTGGGCGTTGGAACGTTTTCGCGCCATTTTGGCTGCGATTGGTGGTCTCGGTGCCTACCTCAGGCCTGTTGGACGCACCTGCATGCCCGTTCAGGGGCTGTCATGGCACCTGGACTGCATCGTCTTCCCTGGGCGCTGTCGTGAGCCGCCTGATCCGCGGCCCTGCGCGCGTTAGGTAATTTAGTCGCGTCCGCGGCCCGTTCGCGACCTTCCGCCGCTGGCGCTTCCGCCTGCGGTTTTTTTATAAAAAATCCCCACCAGCCCGTTCAGAAACGACGCCCAGGCGAGTAGAGGGTCGTCCTGAGAGGCTTTTCGGCGCCTTGGGTGCCTCGGGGGGGCCTCTTTGGGCCGTTTGGGATCCTCTTGGGGGCCTCCTGGGGGCCTATTGGGGCCATCTTGGGGCCTCTTGGTGCCTCCTGGGCGCTTCTTGGGGCCATCTTGGAGGAACTCGATCAAAGAAGACGGGAGCTTCAATTAGTGCTGCCCCCTCTGGGGGCCAAAATGGGGCCAAAACCTTGGTAACATCAGCGATGTTGGCTTCCTCGGCGAGGCCTTTTTGGACGCTCTGACCGCTCCCCGCCCCCCTTTGTCCAGGTCAGTGGGGAGGGGGGAGGGGGAGGGGTGAACCCCTCCCCGACAAGGGGAAGAAGGAGGGGTGGAAGAGGAAACGCTCTAAACCACCGACGCCCAGAGGGCTGGTGGGATTCCAAGCTAAGGGTCACAAGTGATGGGGGG